GAAAAGGGACTGCTTGTCTCCTGTGCCTGCTGCGGCCCCTTAGAACGAACGCGTCTGAGAGCTTTAGCTTCCCTAGTCTGTGTCAGGTCTTTGCCTCTCACCCACCCCCTCCCTATAGATTGCTGCCCCCACGACCTTTGTTGTATGAAGTCTGGGGAGCAGACGCGTTCCTCTAATCAGACTTTTTAAGGCGTCCTTTGCTCTCCAAAGTTTGGAGAGGGTTTCTGTTCAGCTGTGCTGGTGGTGCTGACGAAGGTTAAAGTGAAGGCGCCTCTCTGGCCGATGGGCACACGTTGCGTTGTTTGCAGAGATAATTCTTGTTCAAACGGCCTTTGAAAAGGTGGTTTATTAGCGTTCCAACGATATGTGCTTAAATTCACCGGATTTTTGCTTCTAAACAGACCCCAGTTTAAAGTGGACTAGTTCCATGTTTCTGAAGTCGTTTTGAGGAGTGAACACTTAGGCTTAAGGGTTGTTAACCTGTTATTCATCACGTTTCTTTTAAAAAAATATTTCTTTTTAATTTGTGTGCGTGTGCCTGCATGAGTTTATGTGCATCACGCAAGTACAGGTGCCACTGGAAGCCAGAGGGCTTGGAATCCCCAGAACTGGAGTTACAGGCAAATGTGAGCTGCCATGTGGGTACTGGGAATCAAATCCCGGTCCTTTGTAAGATCAGCAAGTGCTATTAACTACTGAGCCATCTCTTGACGCCTAAGGTTATATCGATGTAGCCCTAGCTGGCCTGGAACTCAGAGATCTGCCCGCCTCTGTCTCCTGAGTGCTGGCCCCAAAGGAGTGTGCCACCACACCTATTGTGTGTCGGTTTTTAATTGTCTTATTCTTTTTTTTTCCCCCAACTTTTTTTTATTTGAATTAGAAACAGGATTGTTTTACATGACAATCCCATTTCCCTTCTCCCACCCGTCCTCCCCTAATTGTCTTATTCTTTCCTTGACATTTTCATCATTTGATTATGTACTCATGTTAGTAATGCCTTCTATAGCAAATAATAACTTCTGGAGCATGGTTTTTCACTACTAGAACTTCAAATATAAAAAAATTAAGACCAGTGTACTCCAGAGACAGCAAGACCCCAGGAACCAGAAAAGGATAGCCTTAACCATTTCTGATGGATTCTTCAAATTATAAATATCTAGTCTTACAAAGAGTAAACCGGATGAGAAATAAGGGGACAGGAGTCAGTGTGGCGAGCAAGATGAGAAAATGTAGAATGACATTGGCAAGGTGAATTTGCTGTGTGGGGGTGTTTGTCCTGTGTCTAAGAGTAAAGTGAGTAGTTTTTGGAATTATTTTCAGCACAGCTGATTTTTAACATTTCTTCCATAACATTCAGAAATCATTAACAAATTTTGCATATTTGGTATGTTTTTTCTTTTAACTTTTGTTGGCTTTCTTTTAACATTGGTCATGTTTCACCCTTTTTTTTTTTTTTTTTTTTTTTTTTTTTTCATTCCCCTGTCTGCAATCAACTTCTTCATTCCACTAAGGCTGGGCACAGAGTAAGTTTCTTTTCTCCGCTCCTACTAACAATGGTGGTTGGGTGGCTGATAACTGATCTCTCAAGTAGGAAGTGACCCAATCCCCATGCTTGGTTTGGGTTGTTTCTTTTATTGAATATAACAAGACTGCTGTTTCCAGATTCTTTGCTGCCTCTCCTGTTTGTCTAACCTGAGTTGTCACCATGAATTTAGGCAGGGGCACTTGTGACCTATGTCATGTATTTCTTATAACTTGGTCACCAGCAGAAAACCATAGAATTCTGTACTACTGTGGATCCTTGATAGTTCCTGTGTGACTATCCAGACAGTTCTCACATTTTAATCATCAAGGATATTGATGACACCTCATAGAATTGGTGTCTTCAGTCTTGATACAGTACAGTGTGTCACTAATGTTCTTTCTGGTACATTCTGACTGAACAGTTCATTTTTAGTCCCAGAGATTTTCAGCCTATTTTAGACATACACCCTCTCAGGAGTTCAGAGTTCTTTCTTTTAATATAGAAAATGTTTTTCAGCATCCCACAATATCTCTGTTCATCAATTCAAATCTGAAGGGATCCCCTCTAAAATGAAGATTGTTCTGTGTCAAGGTACTTGTCTACTGATTGAGGGTGGATACTTTGTAGTGGTTTTAGCTTTCACAGGTTTCTCCCAAAGTGCTCATTTTGTGACTGCCTGCCCTTTCTTCGGCTACTCTGTGTCCTGATAACAGTTCTTTTCTTTACAATCATTTTGACTTGTGTTGCCAGACAAATCAAGCTTGTTTTCATAATCATTCTCATTTCACACATTTTGGTTTTTGATTGGTTTTAAATTTTAATTAATTTTTTTAAAAATTAGTTATTTTATGTAGATGTGTTATGTCTGTATGTCTGTCTGTTCACCACCTGTGTATGCCTGGTACGGCCAGAAGAGGGTGTCAGATCCCTTGGAACTGGAGTTACAGACAGTAGTGAGCCACCAAGTGCTGGTAATCAAACCTGAATACTCTGGAAGAGCAGTCAGTGCTCTTAACCACTTAACCACTCTCCTCCAGCTGCTAAATTAACTATTAAAAGTTAATTTTAACATTATGGTGGTAAAAGTATTTGTTTTATCATTTTAAACATGTAATGCTTTCTTTGATACTGTTCAGTGATAGCCGTGTCTTGAAAAGCAGTTAAGAGTGTGTGCATTGATGAATGGAACATCTGTATGAGGAAAATCCTGTAAGGTGTGCTTATACTAATCAACATGGGAAATCTCTTTTGCTCTCAGGGGGCATGTGTTATCTTTAAATGAACCCCCCCCCCCCCCGACAGGGTTTCTCTGCGACTTTGGAGGCTGTCCTGGAACTAGCTCTTGCAGACCAGGTTTGTCTCAAACTCACAAAGATCCGCCTGCCTCTGCCTCGCAAGTGCTGGGATTAAAGGCATGTGCCACCACCACCTGGCCACACACATACCTTTTTCTGGACAGGATTTCACTGTGTAGTTTTAGCCGGTCTGGAGCTTGCTATGTAGACCAGGCTGGCCCTGAATTTACAGTAATCTGCCTGCTTCTTCCTCCTTGGTGCTGGGATTAAAGGAGCGCTCCACCATGCCTGTTTTAGGGGCATTTTAATTGTTTGGTAATTCAGAGCAAATTTTATTTTTGTCATCTGAGACTTCTTGTGGCAACTCTAAACTAACCCATGCTAAACTCCTCACTCAACTATCTGGCTTTTTTGTTTTTACTTCTCTAATACACATAAATAATTGTGAAAGTGTTATTTATTTATTTATTTTGGTTTCCCGAGACAGGGTTTCCCTGTGGCTTTGGAGGCTGTCCTGGAACTAGCTCTTGTAGACCAGGCTGGTCTTGAACTCACAGAGATCCGCCTGCCTCTGCCTCCCGAGTGCTGGGATTAAACGCATGCGCCACCACCGCCAGGCGAAAGTGTTATTTTTAAAGTTTACAAACTATACTGAGGGGGTGGAAGAAGCAGTTTTATCCAGGTAATATAAATATGAAAGTGGGGGTTTCTAGTGAAAATAGCAAAACATAAATAAACTGCACATTTGCGTCTATTGAGACTCTAAGCATAGGCCTTTGTTCCTTGTAACATGCTGCTAAGAATTTGAAGTAACACAATCAGTTAATTTGGGCTGATGTTCTTAGCATGCACTATAAAATTAACTTTTTCCCTATTCATTTTTATATTTATATACATACATATATATGTATCTATATTTTTTTGTGTATGATAGTTTCATTTTGCAGCATTGGCTGGCCTAGAACTGGAACTTGCTTGGCATGTAGCCCAGGTTTGCTTTGAACTGGCAGTCCTCCTGTCTCAGTCCCCTGAATGCTGGATTTACAAACACGAACCACTATATTCTATATATTCTTCCTCCCATCCCTTCCCCTTTCCCACTCCTCTCCTCCTCTCTCCTTTCTTCTTTCTCCTTTTTGCTGCAAGGTCTCATTGTATTATCACTTTGTAGACCAGGTTGTCCTCAAACTGCCTCTGCCTCCTGATTGTTAGGATTAAAGACATGTGCCACCACTGCTCAGCCATATTCAATTTAAAAAAACAAATAAGCAGCAAAACTCTAATGCCTGCATGTATCTAATCACACCAGATAGTGCAATACCTGTAAAGCTCAGAAGAGAGCATCAGTTCCACTAGAACTGGAACTAGAGGGTTCTGAGCTGTCTTGTGGGAGCTGGGAATTGAACCTGGGACCTCAACAAAAGTAGCCAGTGTTCTTTGATATCTAAGCCATCTCTCTGGGGCCATGTCATTTTGTTTCTGATCATTTCCATTAGCAATGTTTTTATTAGAGTTGCAGAAAGGATTACTGTGATATTAAATGCTATAGATTCCAGCTGTATATTGTTCAGTTTGCAGTTTTCATTCTATTCAGTGTAATTTATGGGTTTCTAAATCAATCTTTTTTACTTTTTCTGAGACAGTATCTCTGTGTGGCTGTGGCTGACCTAGAACTCACAATGTAGACTAGGCAGGCCTTGAACTTGCAGTGGTCTCTTGCCTCTGCCCCCCTGGTGCTGGGATTTCAGGTGTGTGCTGTCACACCTGACTCGTGAATTGTTTTAGAAAACTTGATTTTATTCTATTTTTTGATATCCAACATAAGATTAGTGTAGAACATGTTTGTTGATCCACGATAGGAACTGTATTAGTAACTTCTGCTCTGTTGGGTTCTTGGAATCTCTGACAAGTTTAAAGGGGGATTCATGGGAAAATCATGTTGTCTGCCATCATGTCTAATGCCGTGTTTGTTTCACTCTGACACATGAAGTTGGTGTTGGTGTTAGGAGATCTGCACATCCCACACCGGTGCAACAGCCTGCCGGCTAAATTCAAAAAACTGCTGGTGCCAGGAAAAATCCAGCACATTCTCTGCACTGGAAACCTTTGCACCAAGGAGAGTTATGACTATCTCAAGACTCTGGCTGGTGACGTCCACATCGTAAGAGGAGACTTCGATGAGGTGCCATTTTCCTTTCTCTCTTATCTATGCCCCTTTCTTGCTTCTTTGCATAACCTTTATCCTTTAGACTTGAGTTTTTCCATTGTTGTCCCCACCACCTTGAAAAGTTACCCTAAGGCCTAAACAAGTTGGGTGTTTACTTGTCTTACTTGTTTACTTGTCTAAACATACACAATGTCTGGGTTCAGTCCTCAACATCACAATTATTTGTTACCGAAATACAAATTACAGGTGAAATATCCATTAGTTTATAGCCAGAAGCATTATGGGTTAAGGCATTCTCAGATTTGGGGACACTTGCACATATGTAATGAGATATTAGGGATCTAAGAGCCAGGTCTAAACAGCAATTCATTTTTGTTTTATTCCTACATAACTTATATGCATAGCCTGAAGATATAAAGTTGTTGAATTCCTGGCCTCCTGGGTCTATAAAACAAGACCCTGTTTGGAGGGGGAATAAAATTAAGCGTTCTTATGCCGGGTGGTAACGGTGCACAACTTTAATCCCAGCACTCGGGAGGCAGAGGCAGAGACAGGCAGATCTCTGTGAGTCCAGGCTAGTCTGGTCTACAGAGTGAGTTCCAGGACAGCTAGGACCACACAGTGAAATCCTGTCTCAAAAAAATAAAACAATGGCTGGAGAGATGGCTCAGAGGTTAAGAGCACTGGCTGTTTTTCCAGAGATTTCTGGGTTTAATTCCCAGCAACCACATGGTGGCTCACAGCCATCTGTCATGAGATCTGGTGCCCTCTTCTGGTGGGCAGATATACATGGAAGCAGAATGTTGTATACATAATAAATAAACAAACAAATAAACAATTAAAAATAAGAGTTCTTAAATTTCAGCTTTGCCAATTAGTTATTAAGTAATGTAATTCTTGAAAGTTACTTTTCTTCTGACTCTCAATAAATATGTTGGAATTGAATAATTCACGATAAACATGATTCCAATATGAATCTTAAGCTTTTCAAAAATTCTTTAACTTGGTTGGTGCTTTCAAAGCATTTAGGGCCATTGAGGTGGCTCTGGGTAAAGATGCTTGTCACCAAGCCTCGACCTGGTTTGATCCCTAGGACCCACATGGTTGAAGGAAAGAATTAACTCCAAGTTGTCTTTTGGCCACATGCGTACAGCAGTGCACATACACACAAAATAAAAATTAAAAATCTCGGCTGGGCAGTGGTGGCGCACACCTTTAATCCCAGCACTTGGGAGGCAGAGGCAAGCAGATCTCTGTGAGTTCGAGACCAGCCTGGTCTACAAGAGCAATTCCAGGACAGGCTCCAAAGCTACACAGAGAAACCCTGTCTCGAAAAACAAAAACAAACAAATTTAAAAATCTCAAAAACCACAGAGTTCCTTTATATCAAACAGAATGAACATACAGTGTTCATATTTAGCAGACTTAAAAAAGATTTGGGGTAAACTGTGAAGGTGGCATGATGATTAAAGACTAGAGAGAGAGGAAAGAATGGCCTACCTGTTAATTAGAATATAGGTACAGTGTATTAAGAAATATATTAAGGCTTCTCTATTTGTGTTAAAGATAGTTTAATTGGCAAGGCTAAATTTCATTTTTAATTTGCTAAATACACAAACTCTAGAGCCATGTAACCATGGTTTGGATCTCACCTCTAACCACTTATTGGCATATAACCTTGGGCAAGTTATTTCAGCTTTGTGCCTTAGTTTCCTCATCCATAAAACCTGGACATAATTTAAATAAACCCCAGCTTGCAGGTCATGTGAAAATCACAAGTTTAGGGGATAATTACTCTTTCAAAATTTTTTATTGCAATATTTGTGGGTGCATGCATGCACACATGTGCTGTAGTACTTGTGTGAAGGTCAAAGGACAAGAGCTTGTGAAGTTAGTTTCCTCTCTGCGTCACGTGGGACCCAGGATAGACTCCAGGCTTGGGGGCAAGCAACTTTACCTGCTGAGCCATCTCACCAGCTCAGGAATAATTATTCTTTATAGCCCATCCTAGAGAATCCACATTCTACAGAAATTAACTCAATAAAGCGGTTGCTTGGCAGCTTCTAGTTTACATTGGCTGAATTGGGTTTTAAAAACCATTGCAGTATTACAGGCTGAGGAGAAACTTTTTCTAAATGTAGGGTGCTATCTGAAGATAATCTGTATGAGACTGAATATTTAAACAAATTGAGTAAGTTTCTATCTGAAATGTGTGTTTTCTTTATGTCTCTTTTTTTATATTAGAATCTGAATTATCCAGAACAGAAGGTTGTGACTGTGGGGCAGTTCAAGATTGGTCTGATCCATGGACACCAAGTTATTCCATGGGGAGACATGGCTAGCTTAGCCCTGCTGCAGAGGCAGTTTGATGTGGACATTCTTATCTCAGGACACACACACAAATTTGAAGCATTTGAGCATGAAAATAAATTCTACATTAACCCAGGTTCCGCCACTGGGGCATATAATGCCTTGGAAACGTAAGTACCACAGCTTAGCATTTAGAGCCTAAGAAAAGGTAGTAATTGCACATGTGACATTTCATAAAGAGAAATACAACATTTAAATAAGAGCCTGTGTGGTGGCACACAACTCTAATCCCAGCCCTCCAGAGGCAGAGGCAGGCAGATCTCTGTGAGTTCAAGGCCAGCCTGGTCTACATAGTGAAACCCTGTCTCAAAAAACACACAGTAATATAGGTAAATCTTTATGTCAGTGATCCCTTTTTATTATTCTTTTCTTTCTTTTTTGAGACAGTGTTTCTCTCTGTAATAGCTTTGGCTGCCCTGGAACTCACTTTGTGTGGACCATGCTGGCTTCAACATACAGAGATCCACCTGCCTCTGCCTCCCAAGTGTGCCACCACCACCCAGCTACTGTTGTTCTTTATAATGTGCAGGTAACACGATCATATTTCTCTTGAGTTCAATACCTTGAGTTGAAATTTACAGTGCTATTGCTTTAGTACAAAACACTAACACTGTTTATTTTTCTTCCAGAAATATTATTCCGTCATTTGTGCTGATGGATATCCAGGCTTCTACAGTGGTCACTTACGTCTATCAGCTTATTGGAGATGACGTCAAAGTAGAACGAATTGAGTACAAAAAATCTTAAGCTAGGCTTGTCTTGATCACTTTTTTTTTTCCATTTCCTTGTTCACATCAATTAATTAAACACTTAAAGGCACACAGTTGTATCACTTTTATAATATTTTGCACTAAAATGTCTTCTCTGTTTAATACATACTTGCTCTGAGCTTCTTGTAAACTATAATATACTTAGTTTGCAGTATATGTTTTCTTTGAAAGGAAGTCCATCATACAGGATAGGGCCATGCTAGAAAAATTTAAACTTGTAAATATCTTCCTACTTGGTAATTGGACTTCATTACAAAACTAGTGCATGAAGAGAAAGAATCCAGAATTTCTATGTATGTTTTCTCTTCTCTGGTAATAAATGTTTACCTTCCACTTAAGACTTTCTTGAAAACCTGTGTTTAATTTAAAAACCACAGACTTGAAATCCCAGCACTTGAGAGATAGAGGCAGGTAGATCTCTTAAGAGTTGAATGGCACACCTGGCATTGGTGGCACACACTTTTGATTCGTGCACTCAGAAGCCAGCCCGGTCTGCAGATGCAGTTCCAGGACAGCTAGGGCTGTTACACATAGAAACCCTGTCTCAAAACACACAAAACAAACAAAAAAATCAGAGGGCTAGAGAGATGAGATGGCTCAGTGGTAAAAGGCACTGTTGCTCTTCCAGAGGACCTGGGTTCAATTCCCAGTGGTGGCTCACCACTGTAACTCCAGGAGTTACACTTTTACACAGACACACGTGCAGGCAAAACCAATGCACATAAAATAAATTTTTAAAAATTCAGTTTTATGTGGCAAGTAAAATTTTAATTGTTCTAGCTAGAAACAAGCATACATTACACATAAATCATTGGTACACAGAAACATATTGGATGAAGAAGGATACTGTAAATGTCTCAACAACCCAAATGACATACTGGTGACTAGCACTATCACATACATGGCTCACAACTCTTGCTGTCCACCTCTGGTTCAGCATCTGGATGTTAACTGATGGCTGAACTTGGTATGGAGGCTGTCAGGTTGACCTGAGATGTTCCCGGCTCTTGAATAGACATGGACTGCATGCACTTATTCAGTAGCTCTTCCTCCTTTGTTTCTTCACTCATGCATGGTTGAGAATCATCTAAAGAAACTGAAAGGGAAGACAAGCCTTTACAGTGTGTAGTGGAAATAATTTTTTATTATTATGTGTATGGGTATTTTGCCTGCATGTATGTCTGTGTACTGTGTGTGTGTGTGTGTGTGTGTGTGTGTGTGTGTGTGTGTGTGTGTACACGCACGAGTGCGCACGTGCTTGTTCACAGAGGGCATGAGATCTCCTGGAACTAGAGTGGTGGATGCTGGGACTTGCAGATCCTCTGGAAGAGCAACCAATGCTCTTAACCACCAAGCCTTCTCTCCAGCCTCATTTACTTATTTTTTGAGACAGGGTCTTCGTAGATCTGGCTAACCTGTAAACTTTGATATGTCAGACCAAACTGGCGTCTTAACAGAGATCTACCTGCCTTTGTATACCAAGTGCTTGGATTAAAGGTATGTGCCAACATACATGGCTGGAAATAAAATTCTAAGCACTACCTTCAAAATGACCTGGCTTATTAAGCTTTGCAAAGACAAATTACCTACTGTTTTCAACTTAGTTACCCTCCTACTTGCCCCAGCCTCTTTTTTTTTTTTTTTAATTTTATTTATTATGTATACAACATTCTGCTTCCATGTATATCTGCACACCAGAAGATGGCACCAGATCTCATAGTGGATTGTTGTGAGCCACCATGTGGTTGCTGGGAATTGAACTCAGGACCTCTGGAAGAGCAGTTAGTGCTCTTAACCTCTGAGCCATCTCTCCAACCCCGCCCCAGCCTCTTTCTTACAGTAGTCACAGCATTATATTGTAGCAGCTACTGCATAGCACACTTAGTAAACCAATAGTATTCCCATTGGTTTTTGTTTGTTTTGTTTTGTTTTTTAAGACAGGGTTTCTCTGTAGCTTTCATTTGGAGCCTGTCCTGGAGCTCAGGCTGGTCTGGAACTCACAGAGATCTGCCTGCCTCTGCCTCCCAAGTGTTGGGATTAAAGGCATGTGCCACCACTGCCCAGCAAATAGTGAAATTTTTTTAAATAGAAGCATAAACTATTTCATGTTTGGTTGTTTTGGTTTCTGAGGTAGGATGTTACTGTGTAGCTCTGATGAGTTTATGTAGACCAGGCTGCCCTGGGACTCAAGAGATTTATTCCCTGCTTCTGTACTGGGACTTGTCTCATGTGCCACCATGCTTGGTTTTTACTTGAAATAACAGAGCTCATCACACTTAAAATTTTTAATCAAGACATAATTAAAGAGTTTAAAAGTGTGAGACAGGCATGGTAATTCTGCCCACCTATAGTTCTAGTACTTGGGAGGTGGAGGCAGAGGATCAGGAGTTCTAGGTCCACCTGGGTTACATGGGACCTTGTTTCAAAAACAAAAATCCTTTAACTCCATGTATATGTGTGTGTACCTGCTTAATCCCACATTTACCTGGTAGCAAAAGCAGTCTGCCTTGTCTTCTAAATGTCTTCAGTGACTTACATCTTGTTTTTGATGCGTATCCAATTTTTAACCTGTGACAAAGGGAAATATTTCAATTGGAGACAGCAAAGTGAACTCAAAATAGGAGGTTCTTTTTACTACTGCTGCCATTACCAAAGACCCTTCATTCATTTCCCAATGTCCTGTGATTTACTAACCCTGAAATGCAGCACTATTATCACACAGTGTGGACACTGAAGCTTCTCTTCTGTTGCTGTAAGCTGTGGGTTTGTTGTTGGGTTTTTTTTGTTTGTTTTTTGAGACCCAATGTAGCTCAGCCTTGCCTCAAATTCACTCAGTAGACCAAGATGCCCTCACACTCCTGATCCGCCCAAGTACCGAGAATGTAGACTTATTCCACCACACCTGCTGACAGCAGCTTCTCTCCTCCTTCCTCCTGGCTTTATAGTCCTCCTCTTTGCGGGAGCATTATGCTGCTTCTGGAGGCCTTGCATCATTTGGAAACTGAGTGGGAAGAGTAGACTGCCAGAATTTTTTTATTTATTGTTTACGGTGTGTTTGAATATGGGTGTGTGTGCTATGGTGCATGTGTGGAAGTCAGAGAACAGCTTCAGGGGCCCTGTTTTCTCTTCTTCCTATGACTTCTAGGGATCAAACACAGGTTGTTGGGCTTGCATAGCAAATGCTTTTACCTGCTGAACCATCTTGCCTTGATCAATCAAAAAAGTTTGCTTATCCACAAATTATATTGTGAAAAAGACTGATATAGCTAGGTGTGGTGGCATACCTGTACTTCTAGCATGTGGGAAGCTGAGGCAAGAGGATTCCCTGAGTTTGAGGCATACCTGGGCTCTGTGTCATGTCACAGAAACTCAAACTCCCTGAAGTGTCATATCCCACACATCTCAATGAAGAAGAAGTGGGCTCCCTCATCTGAGTTTAGCAGAGTGAAATCTCACTCAGGGGGTCCCCCTTCAGACACAGCTGGGTACATTTTTTTCCTTCTTAAACTCAAGAAACAGACCCTTCCTTGTGTCTCAGTGGTCTCCACAGGGAATGGATGATCATTTCAGGTGTTGCAGCCGCAATGCTCAAAGATTCCTCTCTCTCCAGATGGTGTCGCCATGTAGTGCAGGGGGAATGCTGTTTCTGTGAGTAGTGAGAGCTGATATGGCTCCTGTGATGAGTGAGGGCACCTGGCACACAAATCACCTGTTAGGAGACTGATTTCTCATAAGAACCAACAAGAAACCAAGTGGGGGTGCACCTGCCTGGCTTTTGTGAGCCCTGATGAAGCACGTGCATGTATTGCCTCTTCATTAAGGTCCTCAGGTAGCCGGAGTTACAGATCTTAGCAATGCTGCACAGGTAGCGCTTCTGCCCTGCAGTGAGTTCTGGATGCTGAAACAAAAGAATGAGGATCTGTTGACTGCTGTAGTGTAGAGGGTAAGATTGTACCTGAAAGCAGCTCAGTTTATTTGGTCCCAGCTAAAGTTAGTGTCCAACCTAAGTTTTTAAAAATTACCTCTCTATGTGTGGGTATGTGCACACATGCAGGTGCCCACCAGTCCCCGAGAGCTGGAGTTAGAGGTGGTTGTGAGCCTGCACAGGGGTGTTAGGGACTGAATTCTAGTCCTCTGTAAGAGCAATATGACCTCTAAGCACTCAACCATTTCCATTTCCTCAGACCCCCCCCCTTTTATTTTGAAACAGGGTTTCATACATCCCAGGCTGGCCCTGACCTTGATATGTAATTCAGAAAGACCCTCAATTTCTGATCCTCCTGCCTCCATCTCCTGAAGACTGGAATGACAGTGTCCCATACTAGTTTGTTTTTTCTTTTTTAATCTAATTTTGACTAAGTGTACTTCCTTTTTTAAAGAATTAAAACAGGCCGGGGTTGGTGGCACATGCCTTTAATCCCAGCTCTCGGGAGGCAGAGGCAGGCGAATCTCTGTGAGTTCGAGACCAGTCTGGTCTACATAGCGAGTGCCAGGAAAGGCTCCAAAGCTACACAGAGAAACCCTATCTTGAAAAACCAAAACCAAAAAAAAAAAAAAAAAAAAATTAAGATATGTGACTCAGCTAGGGGGGGGTGGCACATGCCTTTAATCCCAGCACTCGGGAGGCAGAGGCAGGCGAATCTCTGTGAGTTCGAGACCAGTCTGGTCTACATAGCGAGTGCCAGGAAAGGCTCCAAAGCTACACAGAGAAACCCTATCTTGAAAAACCAAAACCAAAAAAAAAAAAAAAAAAAAATTAAGATATGTGACTCAGCTAGGGGGGGGTGGCACATGCCTTTAATCCCAGCACTCGGGAGGCAGAGGCAGGCGAATCTCTGTGAGTTCGAGACCAGTCTGGTCTACATAGCGAGTGCCAGGAAAGGCTCCAAAGCTACACAGAGAAACCCTATCTTGAAAAACCAAAACCAAAAAAAAAAAAAAAAAAAAAAATTAAGATATGTGACTCAGCTAGGTGGGGGTGGCACATGCCTTTAATCCCAGCACTCAGGGGGCCGAGGCAGGAGGATCTCTGTGAATTTAAAGAGAGTTCTGGGACAGCCAAGGCAATTCAGAGAAGCCCTGTCTCCCCCACCCCTAATATAGGACTCATTTATGTATGTATGTACACACATAGAATTTACATTAAGAGTAGAAATTTTGGTCAGAGGAACCTACCAGTCTACAGAAAGTTTTCCTAGCTTGAATTCACACAATCTACATTACTCTAGAAATAAGACTCAAAGCAGCTATGCGAAATTTGTTGGTTGGCCCCAATTTCCAATCTTCCCTACTGTACCTCCCAAGTGCTAGGATTACAACCACGAGCCACCACAACCTTAAGAGTCTATTTGCACCAGGTGGTGGTGGCCCATGCCTTAGTCCCAGCACTCAGGAGTCAGAGGCAGGTGGATCTCTGAGTTTGAGGCCAGCCTGGTCTACAAGAGCTAGTTTCAGGACAGCCTCCAAAGCTACAGAGAAACCCTAAAAATCAATAGTTGTAAAATCCTTATTGCCATTTTCTTTACTTGGCAGTGATCTGAGTTTGGGTTTTTATCCCTGGAGTGTCTTGGTGATTGACTCCGAAGTACCATATACCTGGAAAGAACTCTTGTGACAGGAAATCTATAATCCTTGTAGTTATGCATGAATTTAGTCAACATATTTACTGGCTGACTCTGTTTTGGGGGTGGATGGGTTTTGTTTTTGTCGTATTTGTTGTTGAAACAGGGTTTTACTATGTAGCCCTAGCTGGCTTCAGATTTTCTATGCAGACCAAGCTGGCTTCAAACTCAAACAACTCTACACTCCTCTGCTCTCCTAGTGCTGCTCCTATGCTACATGCCCATTATTTTTGAAGACATTTTTTTCTCTGTGCAACAGCCCTAGCTGTAGTGGAACTAGCTAGCTCTTGTAGACCAGAGATCCGCTTGCCTCTGCCTCCCAAGTGCTGGGATTAGAGGTGTGTGCCACCAAAGCTCGGCTCCACTTTTTTTTTTTTTAAGTTTCAAGGAAAATACAATAGGCCAAGTAAGCTGAAAATCCTGGCAGCTGCCAGGAGGGAGATGGAGAAAAAACTCATTTCTTTTAAGTTAGGTATGGAGGTCAGAGAAGTAGGGAGAAATCCTAGAGTGCTAGGCTTTGGCCACTATCCAAAAGAAAGAGCTAGGAAGAAATGGAAGCAGACAGGTTCCACAGTGTTATATGACCACTGCTCTGCAAGTGGTGGCCTTCAAGGACTCCTTGACAGTATACTAGATACACCATGTAGTCTGCTGGGCCTTAAGTTCTGTCTAAGTAGTATCTTCAATCACAAGTCTGGATCTGTAGCTTGGTAGCAGATTTACTTGCTTAGTATGCATGAGGCCCTGGTTTTAATAGTCAGCATCCTTCAGAAACATTTCAGAGGCTGGCAACATGGCTCAGCAGGGAAAAATACATGACAGCCTGAGTCTGCTCCCCAGGTGGAAGGAGAGTAATGGTTCCCACTAGTCTTCCTCTGACCTTCACACAAACAACTATAGTACTTTTTTTGACAACTATAGAAAATTTTTATTTTAAATTCTGGTCTTACCTTTAGAAAAGATGAATCTGCCATTGACTTAGGGATTTGAATTGTTTGGACTTGAGTAGTTTCCCATAACTCCTGCAGCTTGGCAATGTGTGAGTACACTCTGTGTCCCTCTTTAATTTTATCTGTAGGCAAAGACATGTGACTTTCTAAGGCAAAGATCATTAATAATATATGTTTATGAACACTTGTGATTATCCTGAAGCAGTTGTAGGAGTATTTTAAATCAAATAGTGAAAATTAGAGGGTTAGCCTTTTATTTTTAGAACACACAAATATCTGGAATTGACATGTCTTCAAAGATGTCAATACATAACCAATAAACACTTTAAAAGATGCTCAGAAGCCCGGCAGTGGTGGCTCACACCTTTAATCCCAGCACTTGGGAGGCAGAGGCAGGTGGATGTTTGAGTTCAAGGCCAGCATGGTCTACAGAGTGAGTTCTAGGACACAGAGAAACCCTGTCTCAAACAAACAAATAAACATGCTCAGAATCACTCAGCAGTTTAGTGCAAAGAAACATGAGACGCAGGCTGGCAAGATGGCGCCCTGAGTTCAGTCCCTGGAATGTAAAATGCAGTGCGGGAAGGGACTCCACAGAGTGGTCCTCTCACAGTCCCCACACACACCCCTGTACCAAGGCCAGTAACCCCCCCCCCCCCCCGAAATCCTGACTAGAGGTACCACTGACCAGGCTTGCTGGTCAGTTATGTAACAAAGGTTTATGAAGGCACGGACACAGTAATCTGTCGCCTGGCTGGGCTGACTGGGAAGCATTTCTGGGTCCATCCTGCTCAGGTGCAAACCTGGTCACTGGTTCCCTTGCGTGAGTACTTTTCCCCAATAAACTACCGTTTATCAGCCTATTTCTGACTGCACTTTGTAAACATATCTGGTGTCAGGAGTTTTGGGACTGAATTTGAACCCATGGGTGGGTCATGACTGTGAAACCAATTAACCCCTGCCACATAGGTGCTGGGGTAACCCTTTCCCTCTCCCTCCCTCCCCGAGCACTCACCCCCGAATCTCTCTGGCACCACCCGCTAGCACTCAGAGGAAGCCATCACCATCGCCTAGGGGCTTCATCCCTCCCATGTCTGTCTCCCAGTCAAAGCACAGTTTCTGCCAGGTGCCTTCTGTGGATTTTCCCAACTCGAGGCTCCTCCCCTTCCGTTTTAGCAACTGTGGCCGCCTCTGCACAGTGTGCAGCCACATTGCTGTGGATACCGCTTTGGTGCCTACAACTGGCTACGGCCCTGCGGGTTTCCAAAGCCCTTCCTCCTATCAAAAGCCCATCCCTTCCATCCGTTCTAACTTGGTCCAAAAGCAGTTTAGGTATTTTTCAGAATTGTCTTGAGAGCATTTAACCATCCGCAGCTGGACTCTGCGCCACCACAACCGGCCACCTGTGCCACCTTCTGGTCAAACACAGTTACTACGACTGGAAGGGAAACTGACACGGGTAAACTCACATTATGGCAGAACATCTGACAAAGCAGAAAATTGGGAATATTCTTGCTTCTTACGTGAATTTGATGTTAGAGGAGGCTTATGACTTGCCTGTAACGTACCTATATACTATGTTAGCGGTCAGCTTCATAGTTCATGTGATGTCTGTAACCAGGGAGACTGAGACACAGGGAAAAGGAAAAAGAACCTGTACTAATTATGGGCAGCTTAGAAAGTTGGATGCAAGATATAAAAACCAGTCAGGAAAACTTGATCTCTGAAATGCAAGACGTGAAACGTTTACATAGAAGAAGTTTAGGATACTAAATCTGGGCAGGTTACATTACTAACACAGGTAGAACAAACTGTTCATGGCCAAATAGAAACCAAAATTTCTTCCATATCTGATGCCTTAAATGGAAAGATAGCTAAGAACCAGGACAGGATTAGCAAACTGGCACAGACAATTCGCTCCATGTCTGATGAATCTACTGCCACAGGCCAAAAGCTGGCATCTAGGATTGGATATTTCGAAGACAATTTACATGCCATTCAGATACTATCTAAGGTTGAGACTATTAAAGGTTTAGAAGCACAGGTAAATGAAGAAACAAGAAAAATTAACGATTCTATAAAATTCTTAGAATCTTATATGATTTACGAGATTCAATCTCTCCATGAAACAGTGGTTGCCAGGCTCCAAGCCATGGATGACTCCGAATCAGATTCCTCCCACTCCAATGCACCTTTTCCAATCAAACATCAGGAAAACCTTCCTAAGGTTGTTATGTGCACACCACTGGTCTTCCCAGTGACTATGACAGAAAAACTGCCATCAAAAAAATACCCAAATGGCCATGTCACATATCAATGGGAACCCATACAACTAAAAGACTTCAAAGGTATTAAGGAGTCTGTTGTCTCATATGGTCTCCATAGCCTTATGTCAAAGAATTATTAAATTCGTCGGCAACTTTATTTTTTTTAAGATTTTATTTATTTATTATGTATACAACATTCTGCTTCCATGTATATCTGCACACCAGAAGAGGGCACCAGATCTCATAACGGATGGTTGTGAGCCACCATGTGGTTGCTGGGAATTGAACTCAGGATCTCTGGAAGAGCAGTCAGTGCTCTTAGCCGCTAAGCCATCTCTCCAGCCCCCGGCAACTTTATTAATAGAGTAACGTCCATAGGTTGGGAACGCCTAATATTGGCTGTACTTGAAAATTCGTCTCAAATACAGTGGAGGGCTCTATGGAGGAAGGAAGAAAAGCCCTCAAGCTTCAAGGCTTAAAGAAAGGTTGTGAAGCTCCCCAATATAAGATTTTTGGTGAGGGTCTTTATGCTGACCCACAGACTCAGGCTGCATATGACAAGCACATATTGTCCTTATGCAGGACAGCAGCTTTAAATGCCTGGGACAAGGTTTGTGAACCAGGAGAAAGAGTAGAACCCTATACTAAGATAGCACAGGGAACAACAGAACAGTTCACTGACTTTTTACAAGGACTATCCAGGCAGTAGAGTTACAGGTAGCAGATTTAAAATCTAGAAAAATACTCACACAATTTCTAGCTTATGAAAATGCAAATCCACTATGCAAAAGGATACTTTGGCCTTTAAAGATCAGATCAGCACCACTGGAAGAGTGGGTCTTGCATACAGCTAATCTCAATTATAATGTCCAAGATACAGAAGCTTGGGTAGGAGAGGCAATCTCAAAAGGTTTTAAAAGACAAGAGACTAAATGTCTTAAAGGTGATGACACAGAAGCTTGGGAAGGAGAAGCAAACCCCAAAGGTCTAAAAAGACACCAATAGGCCAGATGCTCTAACTGTAATGAAACAGGAACTTGGGTAGGAAGAGCAATCCCCAGAGGGTTGAGAAGGCATCAGGATACTAGATGTTTTAACTGTGGCAGAATAGGACATATTAGGAGAAATTGTAGGCAAGGAAATTCCAACAATGTCTCATATAGAAGGCCGTCACCTCCTAGATATGTAGGAGATGTGGTAAAGGCAGACACTGGACCAATGAATGTAGATTGACCAGAGACATACAAGGAAACCCGTTACACTCAGGAAACTCCTTGAGTGGCCTCTCGAGTCCCCCACATCAAGAAAGGTTTGGTCATTCCCAGTCACTTGGAGGACAATCTCTCACAGGACGAATAGATAGTACATTGCCTATTGTAAAGAATGGTACCACTCTAGATGGTAGTTTGGCTAGTGAGGAGAAATCAAACGTGACTGGAGGAGACAAAAAAACGCCTATATTGGCAAACTCCTACAAAGGATCAGAGACCTCAGTTGAAAGTAAGAGTAAATAATAAAGTTATTACCAGTTTGGTGGACACTGGGGCAGATGTGACTATTATAACCCAAAAGTCCTGGCCTCAGAGATGGCCCCTAAAAGGGGCGAATGTTTAAATTTTAGGAATTGAAACTCTATCTAGAGTACGCCAGAGTGTTAGGTGGGTTGTCTGCATAGGACCAGAAGGGCAGAGAGGGAGGTTAAAGCCATATTTTGCAGATATCACAATAAATCTCTGGGGTCATGACCTTTTACAGCAATGGAATACCCAGATTAACATTCCTCCAGTATCAGAGGCAAATCATATACAACCACTAGATGGTAGACAAAATATAGTAAGGCACTATGGAAAATAGATACCAACCATCCAGGCTGTACATAAACAAAGAACAAATGATAAACCTTCAGAGGAACCAAAAGCTCTACCCTTAAAATGGCTTACAGATGAACCTGTTTGGGTAGGACAACGGCCTATGACCTCTGAGAAGCTAGAGGTTTTAGAAAAGCTAGTTCAGGAACAGCCACATGCTGGGCATATAGAAGTATCTACTAGCCCTTGGAATTCTCCTGTATTTGGTATCAAAAAGAAGTCTGGTAAATGGAGGATGCTGACAGACCTGAGAGCCATCAATAAAGTAATTCAGCCTATGGGCTCTCTACAGCCTGGAATGCCTTTGCCTTCCTTGATTCCTAAAGGATGGCCTATCATAATCACTAGTCTAAAAGATTGCTTCTTCACTATACCATTGCAAGAAAAGGATAGGGAAAAATTTGCATTCACGGTATCCACTTACAATAATTCACAGCCAGTTAAGAGATTTCAGTGGAAGGTTTTGCCACAGGGAATTTTAAATAGTCCCACCTTGTGCCAACACTTGGTACAAAAACCTTTGGAGATAATTCATAAGAAATTTCCACACTCCATAATATGTCATTATATGGATGACATATTATTGTCGGATTATAAGAAGGAAACATTAGAACGGATGTTTGAGACAGTGAAGGAAGTTCTACCTCATTGGGGATTACAGATTGCTCCAGAAAGGATACAAAGAGGGGATTCTATTAATTATTTAGGTTATAAAATACAAAAAAATCAGGCCACGAAAAGTACAAATTAGAAGAGATCATTATCAAACTCTTAATGACATGCAGAGATTGCTAGGGGAAATTTCTCAACTACAGACAATAATTGGAGTAGAAGGACATGACTTAAAAGCACTTAAAAATGGCCCTAAAAGGGGACAAGGACTTAAACAATCCACGAATATTATCCGCTGAAGTGGAAAAAGAATTACAATGGATGGAAAACAGAATACTGGATGCACATGTAGATGGTGTGGACCCTAATTTAGACTGTATTCTGGTTATTTTACCATCCAGAGACTACCCTTCAGGAACTCTGATGCAGAGGGAAGATATTATATTAGAATGGATATTTCTGACACATAAACAGAATAAAAAGCTAAAGACAAACATAGAAAAGATTTCTGATTTGATTCTGAAAGGCAAATTAAGACTCTGTCAACTGACTGGAAGGGACCCGGCAGAAATTATAATACCTTTAACTAATGAGGAAATTTCCTCCTTATGGAAGGACAAGGAATACTGGAAGACAGCTTTTACTAACTTTTTGGGAACAATTAGCAACAATTATCCCAAAACTGACAGAATTAAATTCATAAAAAAGACAATCTGGTTCCTTCCATGTATTGTAAGAAAAACACCTATTTCTGGAGTCCTTACCTTCTACACTGAGGCGAACAAATCAGGTAAAGCAGGATATAAATCAGGAGAGATAAGTAAAGTAGTTCAAAGTTCATATAACTGTACAGAAGGCAGAGTTATACAAAATTCTTATGGTACTTATGGGTTTTACAGAGTCTCTCAATATAGTTACTGATTCTCAATATGCAGAGAGAGTCGTTTTACACATCGAGGCTGCTGAATTCATTCCTGATGATGCAGAATTAACTTCACTGTTCATACAACTACAAGAAACAATCCGGAGCTGGATGTTGGTAGCGCACGCCTTTAATCCCAGCACTCGGGAGGCAGAGGCAGGCGTATCTCTGTGAGTTCAAGGCCAGCCTGGTCTCCAGAGTGAGTGCCAGGATAGGCTCCAAAGCTACACAGAGAAACCTGTCTCGAAAAACAAAACAACAACAAAAAAGAGAAACAATATAACACACATCAGATCCCATAAAGGTCTGCCAGGCCCACTAGCACAAGGCAATGACAAGATTGATCGTTTATTCTAGGAATCATGCTAGAAACCTCAGAATTTCATAAGAAATTCTAAATAGCATCTAAATAGCAACGGTTTAAAAAAGGATTTTTCCATCACTTGGCAACAAGCCAAGGGGATAGTGAGAAACTTCCTTCTATAATCAAGCTCCATTGCCAGCAGGCTGTAATCCTAAGGGCATTCGGAGAAATGAGGTTTGGCAGATGGATGTCTTTCACTTTCTAGAATTTGGAAATTTAAAATATGTGCATCATACTATAGACATATTTTCAGGGTTTCAGTGGGCTACTGCTCTTAGCTCTGAAAAGGCCGATTCTGTTATAACACACCTGTTAGAGGTAATGGCCATTATGGGTATACCTGCACAAATAAAAACTGACAATGCTCCAGCATATGTCTCCACCAAACTGGAACATTTTTTCAAATATTATAACATAAAGCATGTAAACTAGTATAACACACAATCCCACAGGACAAGCAGTGTTAGAGAGATCTAATCGAACACTGAAAGAAATGCTCCATAAACAGGCAGGGGAAACAAAAAAAAAAAAAACCCAAACATAGGTTATATAAAGCTTTATTAACACTAAACTTTCTTAATGTTAATGAGAAAGGACAAACAGCTGCAGAAAGGCACTGGACTACAGAAAAAACTTCTGAACTAAATCAGCTGGTATACTTCAAAGATGTAATGACCTCTGTATGGAAACCAGGACATGTGTTACTGTTGGGTAAGGGGTTTTGCCTTTGTTTCCACAGGAGAAGGAAAGCTTTGGATACCATCAAAGTTGATCAAGATTTGAATCTAAAAAGAAAAACCTCTCAATGAAGAAAAATGACAGGTCATCCACCAAGGTATATCTCATGAACTGTATAGAAACCTCACAAAGGAAAGGGAAGTGTTTTGTTTTCATCTTCACAGAAAAACTCATCTCCAGAAAGCAAAAAGACACTGAATGGATAGATACCTGAAGAAGTGAGGATAGCTATCCAAAAAAAAAAAATCAAACAAAAGGAATTTGTCATATGGTAAACTCTAAAAATGTCTCTATTTTAAAATCAATCTCTCTTTACTTCCTAGTCCCTATTCAATTAAACCAATGCTGGTTTTAGAGTTGGATTTGGCTTTCCTCCTCTAAATCCAAGCATGTTGTTAAAATAAAACCCAGAGTTTCTGCACTATATCAAGAAGCCAACTGATGTAATACAGAATTAGAAAAAATTTGGGGACTATCATTTTTGTCTATTCTCGGCTCTTTCTCTGAAAGTATAAATTCCCTCATAATTATTATTTTCCTTATTGTTGCCTTTCCCAGTATGCATACATATAAAAGTTAAAATTTTTCTACTAACATTAATGTTTACGTTCCCCACAGCCAATGAGGAACTTCCTAACAGCAATCCTTGAACTCTCTGGAAAGAAAATGGGCCCCACCTCATCAAGTTCACTGGATCCAACTTGATTGTTTAAACTGACACTCTGGCCAGAGCTTCAGATACTGACTTCAATCAACACAAGCATTTCAATCAAGATAAGGACTTCAACCAAGACCTTCAATCAAGCATCTCCCCCCAAACACGGACTGGATATATGTGTTGTAGATAATCAACTCAAAACTTTAACACTTTCTTCCTACAAGACCCCATGAGGCTATTGTTGTCCCATTTCAGCAGGAAGTAACTTGGAGAATACTACGCCCCTTTCCCCACTGTTGACACTAAGCCCTAGTTAGGGCTAGTTTCCTATCATTTAGGGTTGGATTTGGAAGGAGGTGTTCAGGCTTGGACATCTCTTTCAGATGACTTTAGGGTTTAGTTGGAATAGATATAGTTAGGATGTGCTGTAAGTAGATTATTATATCTTCTTATAATTCACCTTTATTTTATTTTATTTTTGTTTTTTTGTTTTTTGAGGCAGGGTTTCTCTGTGGCTTTGGAGGCTGTCCTGGAACTAGCTCTTGTGGACCAGGCTGGTCTCGAACTCGCAGAGATCCGCCTGCCTCTAACCTCCCAAGTTCTGGGATTAAAGGTGTGCGCCACCAATGCCCAGCTCGTCATTCACCTTTATGATTGTTAATTATAGATAACTTACATTGTTAAGTTTAAATCCTCTTTAGACTAAAAGGGGAATTGTAGGGAGAAATCCTGATTAGAGATACTACTGACCACACCTGGCTGGGCTGACTGGTAAGCATTTCTGGGTCCATCCTGCTCAGGTGCAAACCTGGTCACTGGTTCCCTTGCGTGAGTACTTTTCCCCAATAAACTACCATTTACCAGCCTATTTGTGACTCCACTTTGTAAACATCTGTACCCCACCCTTTCCCCTTCCTTATATTAGTAGGAGGTCTTTGGATGCTGATGTTTTTCTCTTATCATCTGAAAAGAGGTATTTTGAAAGTGCTCCCTGTGGCCAGGTGGTGGTGGCGCACACCTTTACTTCCAGTACTCAGGAGGCAGAGGCAGGAGGATCTCTGTGAGTTTGAGACCAGCCTGGTCTACAAGAGCTAGTTCCAAGGACAGCTTCCAAAGCCACAGAGAAACCCTGTCTGGAGAAATAAAAAGCAAACGAAAGTGCTCCCTGTAAAGTAGTCTATAGTTTTTGAAGCTGTTCGTGTAGGATTTCCCCTTCAGTCCATGAGTACATGACAGGTATGCCCAATTTCCAACCAATGCTAATTATAGATTAACAAAAGAGAAAGAACTGGTCTTTGAAACTCTTAAAAAGAGTTTCAAATTTACTGGGGATATTAAATAATTTTTTAGAGCTACAGCTCAGTAGCTGTCTAGCGTGTACAGAGCCCCATGTTCAATCTAGTGAAGTCTGTTTTACATTTGTGTATGTGTGAGGCAGGGAGAGAAAGAGCAAGGGTGATGAAAGTCAGAGAACAGCTCAGAAGAATCAGTTCACTGCTACCCTGTGGGTTCTGGGGGAACTGAACACAGGTGGTCCATCTTGCTAGCCCTTTGAGCCTACTGTTACAACTTCATGTGTAATTAGTGACGTCTGTCATCTACATGCATTACCTGCTTTATGCTGTCCACCAGTGCCTTTGGAATTCTGGTGATAAAAATGTCCAGCTGACCTGTTAGAAAAGAACATCGAAGATAGGATGTACAATGACAGACAGCTTACATGCCCTTTACTTGTCCTGTTGTCATCAGTGTCTTGCAACTTTTCTCCCATTTGGCTACAAGAAGGATGCAGCTAAGCTTTCTCTCAGTGAGCTGTCAGACTTTTATCATACTAAGATAAGAGTGAGTGTGTTTCAAGGGGACAGAACCCAGGACTCACAGAAGTTAGGCGAGTACTCTACTACTGAGCCATACATATCGCCAGTCCCATTTGTACTTTGCTAGAAATGATTTAGTCAAAGTTGGCCTCATTTTCATAGCTTCCTAGTCTAATTGTTACAGCGATACCAAATGAGTAGTTTGGTTCCTGTACTATCCACAGGATATCTTTCTTGTTCTTTAATCATTTCAGTACTGAAAAGAGTAATTATTTTGTGCTGGAACTGTTAAGTTTAACCAGTTATGTTTCCCATCTTGTATCAGTTCTTTTTCCTTTTCTCAAAAAGTTAACTGCTTCCTGCAGTTTCTCAGTAACTGAGTTCATTGAACCAGAACACCTCCAAGCATCGTCAAGAACAAGAAAGAACCTGGCATCACATCTTAAAGAAGTCTTAGCACTATAGTACAATAAAATGTACATATATATGTATATATATACACACATTATAATAATAAACATAAATAAGTATGTATTTCATGGCCGTGGATTTAGCAAGAGCCATGGTTGTGGACCTAACTGGGTCCCCCCCCCCCGCAATAATTCTGCTCCTCTTGGTTTTAAGGAAGCAAGGGGTGCGACAGGGGCATGGCCTCTAGCCGTGACATTACAAGTCTACTGTCCTCACCATCCAGGAAATAGTTAAAACCCGCCTAGTCAGGAGTAATAGTCCACACCAGACATCTATCTCAGCACTCCGAAGTGGAACAGGAGGACGGGTAGTTCAAGGCCAGCCTGAGCTATGGGAGTGTGTCTCAAGAAACCTACCCAGCAAGCAAGTCATGATCAAGGCCTTCCTGG